AAGGCAAATTAACGTGTCAATTTTTGCCCATCAAATTGACAACACTTAAAAATTGTTAATACCCTGTATTAAAGACTATATAATGAAATGGACACTTTTTTAATATACCAGTTTTGGAAACATAAGCAGAAACAGCCTTTGTGAGGATCAGTTTGGCAATATGTTCATACCTTCACCACTATTACATTCTAGGAACTTTTCATGAGGAAATTAACAGATGTACAAAATAACTAATGCTTATACAGATGTGTCCCTTTGGATCCTCTGGGAAGTAGATGCTGAATATTTAGGAGTGTTAGGGATTGATTCAGGGTGGAAGATGGGAGGAGAGGTATACCCCTGAAAGAGAAAGGGGGAGAAAGCAGGACTAGAGAGCAAAAACCTCCAGGCTTTGATGCAGATTTTGACCTGCTGTGAAAGGAAAGGATGGAAGCAGAATTGGGCAGAGAGCGCCTCAGAGTTCTTGCATACCTGGCAAAGTCTGGGCCAACACAGTGGATTGCTTTGCCTGCTTGTTAGTTTTGCCTTCTTAGGGCAGAAGGGGACCAGGCCCTGACACTCTTACTGCACTGGGTCCTCGGCTAGGAGCTGCCTGGGCAGAGGATGGTTTTGGATGAGTACTCTGCAGACCCCGAAGGCTCTGCAGCTGAAGTCTGTCAGCTAACTGCATTCCTCATAGCCAAAGGGCAAGTTCTTGCTGGAAGGTAGATCTGCATGGTCTAAGTGGAGGACCTTTTTGGCTGCTACAGCAGAGATATTCATTGTGGTGTTATTAAAGCGATACAGTTAGAAATGGTATTTTTTTCTATAATAAACATGAAATACTTCTAATTAAGGGGGGAAAGTAATTTCAAAATAAGCTTGCATTTCTATTTTAAGTAACCATGTAATACTGTAAGCTTTTGTTAAGCTTGAAACCCCTAACTCTTTGAACAACTATCAAGAATTTTCTTGTCTTGATATTTTGAGAGTGAATATTGGACTTTTAGTTATCATTCAGCTTTTGTATTTATTGGAGATGATAGGAAAATTGAGGGAAAATTGATGTATTGATGGGACTTGGACTACCCTAAACTGTGTTAGACTGAGACTGCCCTGGCAGGGCATGAACACAGGAGGCCAGTGTGTTGCTTTGCCTTATATTACCAAGTCTTACTGATTTTAATTGATTCCTTTTTCCTGGGTTGTAATTAGAATCCACTTCTAGAATCATCCTCTGCATAATTTGAACAAGGTAATATTACTACTTATTTTTAGGAAAATTTTAGGTCAGCACTATTAACTTAATTTTAAAGTTTCCTTAACCTGAAGATTTAATGAAATTATTTTTAAAGAGAAAGTCTGTGGAATCTTTCAAAATATTGTTTTAAGCCAAAGAACCATGTCCTCTCAAAAACCATTAAAGAGACCCAAAGTTGCTTCTATTTCTTGGATTAACTTTGTAAAGATAAAAATTGTGGGAGAGTGAAGTTAAAATGAAGCTATTTTTAAAGTCAAGTTAGAATTCTCAGAATTCTGTTCCTCCAAGGCTCATTGTTGTACCTTGAGTCTATAGGGCAGTTTCTAGGGAAGGTTTCCAAGTAGGGTTAGAAAAGTTATCTAGGGTCCTGTTGTGAAAGGATCACCAAATGTTTTCCCATTAATTGGCTGGTAGGAAAAAGGTCATCTAATATCTGTCTCCCAAAGGACCCCAGGACAAATTCTGTGGTACCTTTGTTATATTACCCATACTCTCCAAACTGAAATGTTGAAGAAGGCAGAAAACCTGATTTTCCTCCAGCTACCCCAGAATGTTACAGCAGTTTTTTCTATGATTCATTATATACTACAGCTTTAGGAAATGAATAAATTTGTATTAGACTTTGCCAGGAGTTACAGCTACTGTTTAATATTTTTTCCTTTTAGGTAGTAAGCGTATATAGATTTAAATATATGTGTGTTTCTATATGTATTCTGCACATACGTATTTAAAATAAAAAATATAGGAAAGGCAAACTATGTGACTGTGTAGTCAAGTGTAGTGATTTTGTTAGTCTTCCTTGTGCCTTGGAATGAAATTATGATTGCTTGGTAGGAGTTTGTGTTTCTATGAGATAAGTTCTTAAGGTCAAGTGTCATACCTTACTCCTCCCAAGACCCCAGTATCCAGCATAGTGATTTGCACATAGTAAGTAGGTAGCCAGTGGTAAAGCAGACTGGAATTCCACTTCCAGGTTTGTTTGTTTTTTAAATGCGGGGTTCATCACTAGAGGGACTGGGACAACTCTTGTCTCTTACTATTTTACCTTCAATAATGTCCTGTTAATTTATTAAAAATTGTTTTCATTCTAAAATTTGTTTTGGAAATTTAACTAGTCAAATAGTGGCAGTGGGAAAAATATTATAAATAGTTTATGTGACTCATTCTTAGTTCCTGATCAAATATTTATCCACAAAGATTCTAAGTAGGCTTTTTGGTACATATTCAGAAACATAGGAAATGAGTAAACAAAATCAGATATTTGATAAGAACTTACATAAATGACAGAAATGTAACCCAGGTTTTATTAGTCAAAGTTTAATGACAAATGAGGTACAAAACCTATTTTTATTTTTTCTAAGTAAATTTTACTTACCAACCAAACTGTTTACTGAGCAGCATTTTACAAAAATCTAGTCATATGCTATCCACTATATTAAAAACCACTTTTTTACCTTAATTTTTAAAAATTTAATTTTAGCTAAAGTTCTACAGTTGATAGGTGGACATAATACAACCTTCAGTTAATTAGATGTGTGGCATCTACTTTCACCACTGATGTGAGCAAGTACCGTGTTACATGAAGAAGTAAACCTGAGCATGGAATGTTTATCTAACGCAAGGCTCTGCACAGGGCCCCTACACGGATACTTTCCAGGGCACTTCCTTGCCTTTACCACAAGCCAGACTCTTTAGGTGGATACTTCAAACCTCCTCAGTCAGTTCCTGGTCTGAAGTGCCCACGATCTGTTTCTCAACCGCCTTTCTAACTTGGCAGCAGCAGACCAATGAACACTTTTTTTCTTACCAAACTCTTACAACCAGTATTTGCTTTCTCCAGATACTAACTTCTCTCTCCCTTCTGGGGATCATGGATGTTTTCTACCTTAGGTGCCACCTCATCTGATGCTGTACCACCTTCCTGAATCATTCAGTATCATTCTCTTCTTACAAGCTGCTCTGGCCATTAATTGTCTCCTCCTTCTCCAAATCTCTGTAACAACCACTGCTCTTTTCTAGTCACTCTCACCTTTCTGTTCTGGCATGTAGGAGAGGGACATGATCTACTGCTTGGGTGCCACACAGTGACTGGAGGGAAAGGGCTTATTACAATGGCAGGGAACTGGCTGGAGGGAATAAGGTGAAGTATACGTATAGTTAAAAACAAAACCTTAGGCCAATCTGATGTGCTTTGTATCATTATAGACTTCTTTTTAAATTGTGTACTTTTTATATATAGGGCCATCTTCCAACTAATAAGAAGCATTTCATGTTGGAACAATGTGTTCAGTCAGCTACTCAGGATATGGAAACGCTGAATGTGTAGTGGTTACTTAACAAGTCTAGATTACCCAGATGTAGGAGAGGAAGGTTGGTTTTAGCATCTGTAAAATCCAGTCATAAAGTACCTGTGTGTCTCTGTGGGATTGCATTCATTCCTTGGGGCAGGGGAATGGAGGGATGGTATGGGGGAGTGAGGTGCAGAAACACCACTCCCTTGCTACAGTGGTAAGATTCTCCCTTTCATAGGTCATTGTAATTAAAGCCCAAGGGACTGCTTAAATAAAGATAGGACTTCCCTACATACTGTAGTATACAGAACAGAATGCTAGACTATAGAAGCCGTGAAGTACATCTGGGTACTGGTGAAACAGTCTCCAGGATAGATTAAGCAAACAAACAAACAAACAAACAAAAAACAATACAGAGCAATAGGTGCTTCCCATAGTTAAAGGAGACCTGCATATTTGTGTATGTTTCTGCATGCATGGTCTGTCCCTGGAAGGGGACATGAGTCTGGTGGCCTCTCAGGAGCAGAACTGCTGAGGCACTCAAAGGTAGGAAGGGAGTATATTGTGCACTGTGTTCTCATTGGCATTGTTTGCATGTTTCCTTACCACATCCACATTAATGTTACTTTTAAAAGTGCAAACATTTCCTCAGTGTCTTGTGCTGCAGTCAGAAGTAGTAGTGCCTTCTGAGGCAGCATTGGAAATTCACACAGCTTCTCTCACATCTCTCTTCCCACACTCCTGACTGTTGCAAGCACAGTGAATATTTATTTGGTTTACAACTTGGGACAGGAGAAAGAAGAGCTTTGCAGTCAGATCAGACATATGTCCACAACTTACTGGGATGAGTTTCTTAACCTTTCTGAATCCTAGTTTTCTCATGTACATCATGGGAATGTATAGCTAGATCTGTTGCAAGGCTTAAATAAGAAAATGTAATGAGCTAGCATAGTGACGGGCATATAAGAAGAGTTTTATAAATGAAAATTATTTCTGTTTTAATTGGATAACTAAGGGACGTGTTCACATTTTAAAATCCTTACTTTTTCAACTATACTGAAATTTTCCCTGGCATGGTACAGTGCAATATACCAAATTTTGAGTGCCAGTTAGCTCCTAGAGTATTTTTTTAAGTGAAATAGCTTATTTTCCTTTTTTACTCCCATAAAGTCTTTCAAATAAAAGTAATGTTCTTTGTCTTCCTGTATGAAAGTGGACATTTACTATTTAAATAATTTTTGTGTATATGGATAAATGTATTAATGTATATTATATATTTAATTTATATATGAGTATTATTTACTTATGCAGATATCTGTCTAGCAAGAAAAGTTTTAAACATGAATCAGTTGTGTAGATTACAAGTCAAAATTTGGTAATAATGACAATATTAGAATTCCTTTTTAATATAAATATATTATTTAGATACAGTTTTTTTAGCAATATGTATTTTCTTTTAATTTTTCCAGCTCTTTCAGTCTCACATGGAAACAAAATCTTGTATGTCCTCCCAAGTATCTGATGATGAAAAGAGAGTGAGTATATCTTTTAAATAGATCCATGTTGTACTCCAGATGCCCCTATGATTTATTTAAAGGTAAACTATTCACAGACCAGAAAGACTTTTGTTTGTACTTACCTTGAATGTGAATTAACTTTTACCTTGATTCAAGTTAAAAATTAATGATGGATTGAATAATTTTCATGTATCCAATGTCTCTATCCTACTTGGCATTAAGGAAATTAAAATTCAAACTGAGGACTAGCACTGCGTTTGTGGGGCATACTTGCAGAACTTGGTGGATGTGGAGAACTCTTTTAATTCTCTAGTGTATAGGAAGTTGCTTGAAGGCCCTGTTAGATGCCATCCTGAATACAAGATCAGACCTTAATGTTCCCAGGGTCTTAAATGCGCCTGTATAGGAGGAATGTGTTTTGGTAATTCATATTAAAATTTATATTTAAAAAGAGATAATTTAATTTGGTGAGTTATCAGTTTTGTTTTTTTTTTAAGAAAATTTAAAAAATAAGCATGGGTAATTCAATAAGATTAAATAATTTCCTTTAGTCCTGTGCTTCAGTTAAATCTCCCTGTATTTTCCTCTCTTCTTCCACACGTGACGGTCCCCACACTTTTGATAAACCATAATTAGACCACCAAACTGCCATCTTTTTCATTCTTTTCTCTCATTGGTAATAATAGTATATGTCATCACCTTGAAGACTTTTGAATTACTCCTAATCTGCCTTCTGACATGTTACTTTGCTAAAATTACTGAAACAGTTACTAGTAATCTTTTAATGCTTACTCCTTATTTTCTCTGGACCCTCTTCAAATAAATTATGGTGACCTATCTCATAATTTTGAAAATCTTTTGTTTTCATGACATTTAGAGCCAGAAGGGTTTCTACAGTCATTTAATTCAACTTTTGCACTTGCTTATTAGATAACAAGTCTTATTTTAATCTTCTTGAATACTTTCATGACTGGGAAAAACACTGTTTCTTCACACTCTTTTTAAAAAATTATAAAGATCATATGCTTACAAGACTAAAAGGGATTTAAATGGTACAAAAGAAAGTACAGTGTACTGGTTCTCTGTTTCTCCATAACAAATTGCCACAAACTTAGCTGCTTAAAACAACACCTATTTATTAGCTTACACTTCTGTAGGCCAGAAAGTCAGGCACAGCGCAGCTGGCTTTTCTGCCCAAGCCCTCACACTCAGGATGTTGACTGGCTGAGTTCTAATCGGGAGGCTCCCCTTCCAAACTCAGGTTGTTGGTAGAATTCAGTTCCTTGCTGGCCAGTTACTAGCAAGTTGTCATCACTCTTAGGTCCTTGTCATGTGGCTCCCTTTTATCCACATAGCAAAGAAGAACTGAAATCCCCTTCTTGCCTCAAACCAAAATCTCTGGAAGTTCTCAGTTCTCTCTATACCACACTTGGTGATTGTGGCTTTCAGTAGATAATGTAAGTCCTTCAATTTTGTTCTTTTACAGAATGGCCTTACTATTCTAAATCTTCTACATTTCCATATGTAGAAGTTATTTCCATATGTCAGTTATTATATTGACAGAATATAGTTGGATTTCGTTCTTTTATTCAATTTGACAGTTTCTTTTTCATTAAAATGTTTTGACCTGCACTGTCCAATCTGGTAGCCATTGGCCACATGTGGCCATTTAAGTTTAAATTAGTTAAAATTAAATAAAATTTAAAAATCACTTTCTCAGTTGTATTGGTTACATTTCAGTGCTTAATATCTACATGTGACTATTGGCTGTCTGTTGCACAACTCAGATATAGAACATTTGCATTATCATAGAAAGTCTTATTGGACAGCACTGGTTTAGGTCATTTATATTTAATTATAGATATAGCTGGAGTTAAGTCTATCAATTTGTTCTTTGTCCTGTTTTTTTTCTTTTACTTTCTCTTCCTACCTTTTTGGGGGTTAACAGAATTTTTATGATTGCATTTTATCTCCCCTATTGGCTTTATGAGCTATACCTCTGTGTTTTTTTAAGTAAATTTTTAAATAGTAATTGATGCAGGCTTTAACTGACACACACTACCTTCAAACAATATTATAGTAGTTCATGAATAATACGGAAACATTGCCACAGTGTATCTCCGTTCCCCTTCCTATTCTTTGTACTGCCATTATCACACATTCTACTTCTCCATGTATTATAAACCCTGTGATAGTTGTTGTTGCTTTAAACAATTATATTTTCAAGAAATTAAAACAAGGATAAAGCTCTCTCACATTTACTCATATTTTACCATTCCTGAAATCTTCATTCCTTTTTGCCAATCTGAGTTTTCATTTATTGTCATTTCCTTTCTCTTGAAGAACTTCTAACATCTCACATAGTGTGGGTCTGCTACAGGGACTTTTCCCAGATTTTGTTTCTCTGAAGATGTCTTCATTTTGCCTTCATTTGTAAAGCATATTTTCACTTGATAACCGAATACTTGCTTGTCATTTTTTTCTTTTGACATTTATTAATATTGTTCTTTTGTCTTCTCGTTTCCATTGTTTCTTACAAGAAACCTGTGGTCATTTTATGTTTCACTTGTATATAATCTGTCTCTAATATCTGATTGCTCATAAAGTTTTCCTTTATCCTTTCTTAAGCAGTTTCTCTGACATGCCTACTTGTGGATACCTTTGGATGTTTCCACTGTAGTTTGCTGAAATTCCTGGATCTCTGAGTTCATGTTTAGAAAATTGGAAAATTTTCAGTCACTCTTACTTAGATATTTTCTTCCTCCCTCACCTTGCCTGCCTCTTCTTTTTCACTTGGTATTTCAATTATAGGTATGTTATATTATTTTACATTGTCCCATAGTTTTTTGAGTCTCTGTTGTAGTTTTATGTTTTTCTATGAGAGACTTTTAGCTTGGATAATAACTACAGGAACAAATCTTTGTTCCATCATTCGATCTTCCATTCTGCTTGTTGCCTCTCGTTGTTGAGAGCTTTCATATCTCATAGTTCCCTGTGATGTCACCTATTTATCCATCTCTCTTTCCTGTAGAAAAGAGTATATTTTTCTTTTTTAGCATGATTACTGTAAGTATCTTAAAGTTCTTATCATATAATTCAACTTTTGGTTCATTTGTGGATCTCTTCCTGTTGACTGTTTTTTTTTCCCTTGAGTATGAATCAATTTTTTCTGCTTCTTCCCATATAGTAGTTTTTGATTGTGTAGGAGATATTGTGAATGATACATTGAGGAGATGCTGGATTCTACTTTCTTCTTAAGAGTGTTGACCTTTGTTCTAACAAGCAAGTTATTCGCTGGTCACATTGATTATGGTGAGCCTTTGTTATAGGTATTGTTAGAGCAGGTTTACTTCAGTTGTGCCTTCTATACTAGGGAGCATTTCTGACCCCTAGGATATGATTCTTATCCCTAACATGTGGCCCATATAGGTTTTCAGTGAGAAGTCTTAAAGTGTTTACCAAGCCCCTTAAATTTACAGACTTAAAATTCAAGCTTCCCAGAATGGCTCTCTTGAACACTCTACATAGCTTCTTCTCCTTCCCATTTCTCCCCTGCTAGTCTTTTTGTATTCCTCCCATACATGGGCCAAGGATTTGAAGGAAGTGTATTTGCAGGTTTTGGACTCCCTCCTTTCTGGAATTTTCTCCTTCAATTTTCAGCTGATTTGCATGGCCTTATCTCCAACTGACTTACCAACCCAGTAAGACTGCCACTTGCATTTTGAGCTGTATCTTCCTTGTGCAGCAATGACTGGGGAGTACCCTCAGGAGAAAAGCTAGAAAATATCATCTCACCTTATATAGTTTCCTTGTCTCAAGAGTCTCCCTTCCAATGTCCACCAGCCTTTGGTTGCACTCTAGTACCTTGAAAAAATTGACTATAGTTATTATTAACAGGGAGGTTAGTATGACATAAGTTATTCTGCCATTACAGAGTGCTAGAACTGTACCTATAATTTTGTATTGTGCTTTTTTCTCATAACTTTTTAATATAAGAATCAGTGTTCATCCACTGATAATATATCCGCGTATTCCAAAAAAGGGAGAATCATTGGGCAAAAATGTCACTTTGCCTGCTGTGTTCAAGGCTCCCATTCAAACAGATATTGTGAACTTTGTTCACACCATCTCGTGCAAAAACAGTAGACAACCCTATGCTGTCAGTGAATTGGCAGGTGGTCAAACCAGTCTTGGGGTACTAGCAGAGCTATGGCTCAAATTCCCAGAGTTTGAGGTGGTGGAACTCATCAATCTGACCAGAGTGCTTTTGGAAGTATGTGTCATGCGGGTCACATGTTTGTACCACCAAAACCTGGTGTTGTTGGCACCACAGAGTGAACACAACATAGAAGCAATGTGCCATCTGCTCTGCCTGGGCTGCCTCGGCCTTACCAGCCCTGGTCATGTCTAAAGGTCATTATATTGAGGAAGCCCCTGAACTTCCTTTCTTGGATGAAGATAAAGTTGAAGGCTACAAGAAGATCAGGGGGGCTGATTTGCTTCTTAAGAAACTTAAGGCCTGGAATGATATTTAAAAAAAAAATCTATACCTCTCAGTGAATGAGGGATGGCAAGAGCAAAATGAGAAATCGTAGTAAGTATCCAGCACAGAGGACCTTTCGTTATCTACGAGGGGAGATCCCCCCAAAACAGAATTTTTAATACAAAATTGTGTGTTTATTCTTACCTGTTTAAACTTCAGTCACCTTCAAAATACTCTCCATTTGGTGCAATACACCTATTGAGACGTTTTTCCACTACTCAAAACAATTTTTGAACTCATCAATTTTGATGCCTCTTAGTGTTTCTGCAATTTTTTATTTTCCCTCTTCTTTAGCAGCAAAATGTTTCCCTTTGAGGACTTTTTTCATCTGGGGAAATGAAAAAATTGTCTCAGGGTGAGATAGAGTGACTAGGGAGGAGGGTAGAGCATGAAGGTCATGCCCTTTTTGATCGAAAACTGAACACTTACCTCATGGTGTAGACAGGTGCACTCATAAATCACCCATCATAAAAGGGGCAAACGTGTTGATAGAGTTTCCAAAAAAAATTCACCAAAGCCTAATGCAGCCTCTCACAACAATGCTGGCTTGTACACTGATACAGGGGGGTACTTAGAACATTCACCTAGCACAGGTAAGCCTGTACTATAAAGGGCCCGCCCTCCATAGGGAGGTTAAAGGTGATTTTGGGACCTTCCTCCTAATGAGGACAGTAGTATCATCAAAGACTTCAGAAATGTCCTTGGAATTATTCTGCATAATGTAAACAAACTGAACACTTTGAAACCTGCTCCTGGTGGGCATGTTGACCACTACTGCATTTGGATTAAAAGTACTTTCTGCAAGTTAGATGGTCTGTATGGCACTACCACAGAAGGAAACAAGGCTGTAGCATAAATTTAAATTTGTTTATTCTATAAAGGTCAAATCACTGTGGAGGGCTAATTTTGAGTAAAAACATGATCAAAGGCAAAAAAGGAAGAAAGGAATTAAAATGTTATTAAAAATGTATCACAAAATGACTTTAAACATTTTGTTTTACAAATGAATGTCACAGTCTGCTTGGATATTTTCCTATTTTGAAAATCAAATATTTTAATGTTATGTATAGTGCTAAACTCTCATTATATGAAGAGAAGAAATACATGGTTTGAAGGTCTAGACACATTTCTTACAAATTTACTTAGTTGTATCTTGGGGAGCTATAATATAAAATTTTAAATTTCTTTGATATATTTATTCTTTCAAACTTGCTTGTATCCTATCTTAATAAAAGTTTTGTTTTTGTTGTTGATGTTCTGTTTTTCTTCAGCAGAAAAGAGAAAATATCCGTTCTTTGACTATGTGTGGCCATGTTGGTTTTGAGAGTTTGCCTGATCAGCTGGTCAACAGGTCCATTCAGCAAGGCTTCTGCTTCAATATTCTTTGTGTCGGTCAGTGCCAGACTCTTCCTCTTAAGTTGTTCCTTCATGTTCCTTGTGCTCACTTCATTCTTGTAAGCTGTGTGGTGTTCATGTCATCAATTTGAGTTCATGATTGCAGATTTTTTTCAGTTACTTAAATTTAAGAGCTTTGTTTTTTTAGCTGTACTGCTGTAACTTGTTTGTTCTTTAAATATTTCAGTACTTTCTTTGGAGTTCTGAGTAACTTAGCATACTTACTCATTTTTATGTTCTGCTAATGTCTTAGTGGACTGACCTTAGCATGTATTCTTCCATGGACAACTCAACCTTTGAAATATTTGAAATATTTGGGATCCTTGAAACCACTCTAAGAGTTTACAGTTCTCTTTTTTTCTCATCCATCCTGTGCACCTGTGAAGATGTACCTTTGTTTCTTTCAGGGGAGACTGGAATTGGAAAATCAACGCTGATTGATACATTGTTTAATACTAATTTTGAAGACCATGAATCCTCACATTTTTGCCCACATGTTAGACTTAAAGCTCAGACATATGAACTCCAAGAAAGTAATGTTCGATTGAAATTAACCATTGTGAATACAGTGGGATTTGGTGACCAAATAAACAAAAAAGAAAGGTACATGTTTTCTTCTTGTAGTAAAACAAGTTTTTCTTACTTCAGGACATTTGTATTCGTTCGCCATGTGCTATGATTTGATTTTCTACTGTGGAAATCCATACCTTTCCTCCCAGACTTTTAATTTTTTTAAGCACTAAGTAATATTTTGTTCTCACTAACAAATTGATATTTTTATATTCAGCTACCTAATTTCTCTAGAATAATTTGAAATATGTTATTAAAATGTCTATTTCAGCAAAAATAGTTTTAATTATTTTCTCTTATGCCAATTCATTGCATTTTAAGTTATTTGTACTAATTTTCAGGCAAGACTAAACTCAATGAAGAAAAGAAACAAACAAAACACACAATGGCAAATATGTAATGGCCGAATCCATGAATTTTTTTGTGAAATTCTAATCAAATTAGCCAGGTACATTATAAAGCAGGACAGGAAAGATTTGATAATGAAATTTCTTTTTTATATTATGTCATTATTCTGTGAAATCTTAAATTGAGAAAAGGGGAAACACATTGGGGTAAAGCAATAACTTTTGTTCTTTTTCCTTCTTTAGAAAAGTATATATTTTCATTATTAGAGGTATTTTCCTACTTTTCTAAAGTTTGCTTTGGAGAGAAAATATTTTGCATAATTGATTTTCTTTATGTAACTTACGTTAGCCTTTTCAGTGTATTTGTATGTTATACTTTAAATTTCAAGAAATGATTTGTGTGTGCTTTTTATGAAGAAGCAGATTAGTGGCAGAGGCAAAGGCCTGTGACATGTTGCTTTAAATCACACTAATTTTTAAAATAATTTTCTGTATGATGACCTTATATGACTTTATAAATTTATACTTAGATATCTGACACTTTTGATATTCTCATACATGATATCTTTTAAAAGTATTTCATTTTCTATAGAAATACTGATTTTACATAGAGCAACTTCTGTAAATTCACTGATTAATTCCAACAATTCATGTTCAATATTGTTTAGATTTTTTATATATGTACTAGTATAATCTACAAATAATGACATACGTCTTTCCTTTGTAATTCCTTTATTTTTCTTTTTAAATGTTTTATTGATGTCCAATTTAAATAAAAAATAAAATGCACCAGTTTTTTAAAGTGTACAATTCAATTAATTTTGACAAATGTATAGCTTTGTAACAACACCATTGTTAGACTATAGGAAAAGTCCATAGTCGTGGGTACTTTCTTCACATGAATGTTCATGTGCACATCAGTGCTTTACCAAAGCCAGAAGGGGACCTGTCTCCAGATCACCAGTGCTTTTTGTTGGTGCAGCTTCTTTCTCTCCAGTGTTCTTGTCTATAAATTCTAGTTGCTTTGGCGTCCCTGAACTGCAATGTATGTCTTCTCAGCTTACAGAATTGGCTAGACTCTGATCTCTTTTTGGTTCTATGCCCTAGAAACTGAAACCTAGGGCAAGTTACTCTGGATGTGGCATATTGTTTAACTGAGATAATGCATATCAATAACTTAAAAGATACTTAAGTTAAATTCCATGACTTCTTGCTTCTTACATTTGATTTATATGGCATAAAAAGCATTAACATATTAAAGAGGAAAGACACACATCAAATGAAAGTATCCAATCAGAAATGCAGTTAAGTTTGGGGACCTTGTTAGAAAGGGATCCATTGTGTGAATGAATGTGAGAATGAAGCAATGTAAATTCAATATCATTTCTATAAAACAGTTTAAAGCGTGCATTGTCCTGTTAGTTTTAAAGTACTATCTTTGTACATGCATATTTTGCACAATTTGTTTTATTACTAAAGTTACCTGTTCAGCATAGATACCATGTTTATTAATTAATGAAAACAGCTCTCAAACTTCAGAGTTACATAAATACCTTACTTGGTAGCATGAATATGTTATATTCAATATTTAAATACTTATTAATTTTTAGCTACCAACCAATAGTTGACTACATAGATGCTCAATTTGAGGCCTATCTCCAAGAAGAACTGAAGATTAAGCGTTCTCTCTTTAACTATCACGATTCTCGTATCCATGTGTGCCTCTACTTCGTCTCACCAACAGGCCACTCTCTGAAGACACTTGATCTCTTAACCATGAAGAACCTTGATAGCAAGGTGGGTATGGAAAATGAGTTAACTTATCCTGCTTTAATATTTACTTTGAATTATTAAAATATCTTTATGATAATACATGTATAACTTTTATTCTGTACATTTTTAAAACATTTGCTAGGGTTCAGTCTTAGGTTATTTTCCAGAAAAATTCAGTTTGGAAGATGAGCTGAAAAGAAAAAACAGTAACACAAAATTTTAGTTCTTTTTTAATGATTAAATTGCATGTCAGATTATGGGAATTCATTTACATATTCTTTTTTCTATTTATATTCTTCTCTTTCATTTTTTTAAAATTTATAAATCATGTTTATTCTATTACAGTTGTCTCAGTTTTTCCCTCTTTACCCCCCTCCACCCATCCTACCCACAACCCCCCTCCCACAATCAATTCCCACTCTGTTGTCCATGTCCATGGGTCATTCATACATGTTCTTTGTCTAGTCCCTTCCCCTTCTTTCCCCCATTGCCCTCTTTCCCCATCCCCTCTGGTTGCCTTCAATCTGCTCCATGTTTCCATATCTGTGGTTTATTTTGTTCATTAGTTAATTTTGTTGAATAGAGTCCACTTATAGGTGAGATCATACGGTATTTGTCTTTGATCAACTGGCTTATTTCACTTAGCCTAATATCCTCCAGATCCATCAATGTTGTCGGAAAAGGTAGGCGTTCCATCTCTCTCTCTCTCTCTCTCTCTCTCTTTCTCTTTCTTTCTTTCTCTCTTTCTTTCTTAAATGCAGATTGATTTTATTTTTTTAAATGTCAAAGTTAATTATAAAATATTAAAAAATTTAAAACCATTATAAAGTCTCAGCAATTAAACCAGCATGACACCAGCACAGAAATCAAGTACATCAGTGAAATAGAATGAGCATTCTAGAGACAAACATATATATCCTAACAATGTAATTAATATAAGTTGATATTTCAAATCAATGGGTAAATAAGGCTTATTCAACAAATAAGGTACATGGACCACTTTTACTTGAAATAAAACAGAGAGCCCTGTTTTACACACTATACAAGAAATATTCAGGTGAGTTAAAAATCAATATGGAGAATTGTAGGAGTTTTAGGAGAAACTACAAACTAATATTTTTCTTACCCTGAAATAAAATATTCAAACCCAGAAGCTTTAAGGTAAAATATTGACAATATGACTATATTAAACATTTAAGACTGTACAGTAATATACATATAAAAAAGTTAAAGGACAAGTAATAGAATAGGAAAGTATTTGTAACACATCTAAAAAAGGGTTATTGGTTTGTTTTGGGTTTTTTTTAGGGAAAAAAATCTACAAACATTTAATATTAATAAATGGATAAAGAATACGAAAAAGTCATTTAAACCTTTTTAAAAAAATAATAGAAATAGGCAAGAAATTTACATAAACAGGTTTAGTTTCAACAAAAATAATGAACAATTAAAATAACACATTGTCACATGTTAATACGTATTAAAAAATATTGGTAATATCAAATATTGGTGACTATGAAAGGAACTGGGTATTCATAGACTCTTTTTCTTCATCTTAAAGTAGTCCCTTTAGCATATTTTGCAGCGCTGGTTTGGTGGTGGTGTATTCTTTTAATCTCTGGGAAGCTCCTTATTTCACCTTCCATTTTAATTGAGAGCCTTGCTCTGTAGAGCAGTCTTGGTTGCAGGCCTTTGCTTTTCATTACTTGGAATATTTCTTGCCACTCCCTTCTGGCTTGCAGTGTTTCTGTTGAGAAGTCAGCTGCTAGCCGTCTCAGGGCTCCCTGATATGTTACTACCTGTTTCTCCCTTGCTTGCTTTAGGATTCTCTGTTTTGATATTTGCCATTTTACTGATGATGTGTCTTGGGATGGGCCTCTTTAGGTTCCTCTTGAGTGGGACCCTCTGTGCTTCCTGGACTTGTGTGACTTCTCTCCCCAAATTTGGGAAATTTTCCATCATGACTTTTTCAAACAGGTTCTCTATCTCTTCCTCCTCCTCTTCTCCTTCTGGTATCCCTATTATATGGATATTATTACGTTTCAGGTTGTCCTGCACTTCCCTAAATGCCTCTTCATTCTTTTTGAGTCTTTTTTCCATTTTCTTGCTCTTTCTAGGAACTGTTTTCTATCTTGTCCTACAGCTTGCTGATTTGTTCCTCGGCTTCATCTAGCCTGCTTTTGATTCCTTCTACTGTGTTCTTCAGTTCAGAAATGGTATTCTTCATTTCCTCTTGTCTCTTACCGATAGTTGCTGTGTCCTTTTTCATGCTGATACAGTTTGCAGTAAGTTCCTTGTAGTTTCCCTGTAGTTTTTTGTAATTCTCTCTGAGCTCACTGAGTTCATTGAGCTTCCTTAGAACCGTTGTTTGGAACTCAATATCTGAGAGTTTACTTGCCTCTATTTCATTTAGTTCTTTTTCTAGGGATTCCTCCTTTCCCTTCAGGTGTGGCATATTTCTTTGTCTTCCCGTTATTTGTGAGACTCTTCCCTCTTGCTTCTGATTCTTAAGTTGATCTGTCTTGATTTCCTTTGTCGTGTGAATTTCTACAGTAGGAGACCACTGTGTTTTCTTTCTGGATCTGCTGATGACGTCAGCTGTTGACCCCGCCTGACCTTAGACATTCTGTTTGAGACTTCCAGTAATCTGCTGTCTGTGGCTGTCTCCTTCAGCTGTTAAGGTAGTCACACTGCACTCCACAGGCTGCCTTAGATAGCTCAGGGTGGGGCGGAGTCCCTCCTGGGGGTGGGGTTATTGGGTCCTCTCCTGCTGCTGCCCTATGGGTACGGAGTCCACACTGGGATCCCTCTGTCTCTCTTCTCCATTCTCTCCCCAAAGTCTCCATCCGCAGTCTCTCCTCAAGTGTCTCCAGACCTATCTGCCCCGCCTTTAGCCTGGGATCTACTGTCTGGCTGCTACTCTGCACTGTGCAGGCAGCTTACACAGCACGAGGGGGGGACTAGGCCCTCCTGGGCGCGGGGTTATTGGGTCTTTTGATGCTCCTGCTGCTCTGGGGAGTGGTCTCTGTCTGAGCAAGATGTCTGCTGTTGCATGGGTGATGAGTCAGCACCAAGATTCCACTGGCTACTCTCTTAGTTCTTTCCCCAAAGACTCTGTCCCCAGTCTCCCCTGAGGTCTCCAGTCCACTGTGCCCCTGCCTTTGCCAAAAACCAGGATAAGTGGCTGCAATTAAAATTTTATGTACTGGCCCTTTAAACGGATCTTTGCGTCTCCAGCCACCTGTTTCTGGCAGAGAGCAACCCTGCCACTTTTTGAAGCTGGCTGTTTTCTGTGTACTTTTTGGGCTCTGGTGCTGTAGGCTAGAGATCCCTGCTTTTAATTTAGACCCCGCTCTTTTCAGGGTTCCCACTGGCCGTTTCATTATCCTTCTGGTGCTGCTGCCTGTGGGCGCCCCACCAGCCTTCTGGATTCTCTACCGCACTCTTTACCAGTTAGATTGTGCTAAAGCCTATTCTTCTGTCTCCAAGGTTACAAGGCTTCTCTCTCACTATTGTTCAGTTGTTTGTTCCAGGTGATTTCTCCTCAATTTAGTTGTAATTCCAGGTTGGTCCTGGGAGGAGATCAGTGTGACTTCTACTCACTCCACCATCTTGATTCTCCTCCATTTATATATTCTTTAAAAAAATCTAACAGTACTCCATCCCTTTTAATTAATTTTTAATTAATAATATTCCATTTTATGGATATGTCATATTTTATCTATTCAACAGTTGATGGACATTTGGGGTTTTGGCTATCATAAATAACGCTGCATGGTCACATGTTTTCAGTTCTCTTGGCTGTATACCTAGGAGTGAAATTGCTGGGGCACATAGTGTATTAATTTGTTTGCTGGAGCTGCTGTAACAAAATACCACACACTGGGAGACTTAAATAACTAATTTTCTCACAGTTCTGGAAGCTAGAAGTCTAAAATCAATGTGTCAGTAGGTTTGGTTTCTTCTGAGGCCCCTCGGCTTGCGAATATATCCACAAACACTAACTTAGCTCTTGCTAAAATTGTTTACTTTTGATGAGATAACTTCTAGGGCCTTATCGTGTTAAAAAAATTGAGGGAGAGGAAAAATGAGGTGTGCACACAGGGCAGAAAATCCCTTTCTTCACATTTGGTTAATAACACTTGAAAACTTCTTTTTAGGATCTTTATACTACTGGTGTTTTATAACAGCCAGCATGTAGATGGACAGAGTACAACCAGGACTGGCCATTCTTCTCTGTAGGTTGAAAATCCTAGCGTCCAGGGTCCTGGTGGAATTTAGGTTTGGAGGCTGGAAATTCGAGATCAGGGTGCCAGCATGGTTGAGGGCCATCTCTCCAGTTGCAGACTCCTCACTATATCCTCACATGGTGGAAGTGCCATTTACATTTTTTTAAATGTGGAATTTATTTGACACTAATTTTCCTTTATGATTCTCTTAAGCGAGAAGTTCATTGACAAAGATTAAGATCTAATGTTTTATCACATATTATAGCAAATTATGTTTTAATGTGAACCATATCAAGAAAACCTATTTTTAAATTTCTGAGCCAGGGCAAGATTATTTTATATATATATAAATTATATATATATATATAATTTTTATATTTATATTATCAGGGAGCTATAAAAATATTATCCACAAATTATCTCTCCTTGATTTCTATTTAAAAGATGGTTAAGGACTACTGTCTTATACTAACAAAAAACAAAAAACAGAGGCTTTCTGTAACCTCTTATGGCATGAGAATTTCAGCTTTCATTATCCTGGCTAATATTTTTATGAGATAGTATTCAGAAAGCAAGGCATTCTGGCCATTACTACTTTCTATATAGACATCAGTGCGGAAAGCATGAAGGCCTGCTAGTGAAGTCTTGGTACAAAGGTTTATTGACTTTTTACTAGTTCCAGTCCCCTGGGCTTTCACAGTAACTTGATGAAGCTTATATGAGAACCTATTCATCTGATAGATTTTCTAACCATTTAGCCAGTTATTTTCATTGGTATATGGAAGTTTTTTATTTATTAATAAAATACTTATTTTAAGCATAATACTTATGCTAAAGCATAAGAGTATGTAACTTTGTCTTAGCAAGACAGAATCAACATGATGTAGTTTGTATAAAGATGACAGCCTCTGGTGTCAGTAAAGGCTGGTTTTAAATATTAGCTCCATCCCTTAATAGCTATATGTTCTTGGATAAGTTCTTTAGCCCTCTGCGCCTCAGTTTCTTCACGTCTAAAATAAAACTAGGTAGTTATGTTTTATCCCCCAGCCTATTGGTAGTGACGCTCCTGGCCAGGAACACCTGAGGTACTCCTCCAACTGCATTTACTCATAGTGTGAGCCCCAAAAACATCCACTACCCCCTGCTGCCACCACCACTAGGGTTGATGTTGTGGCTGGACCAACCCTGTGGTTCTTACTATGATCTCAGATTGCACTTCAACAAGAAACCTAAGGGAAACTTTGAAGAACAAGATTTGTTACTCGCGGATCCTGGAGCACAGCACACCCAAGAACCATACACGGAGGAGAGGGGGAGAAAGAGAGGGAGTATGAACCTGGGGCTCTGTGTTTATTAGTGGTTAAGGACGGAGTGTCTGGGGTTTTGTGGATTTACTCTTTACTGACAAATTTAAAGCATAAGAATGGGAATTAGAACACAGGAAGGGAAATGTGTTTTTTAGGTTGCTCAGGCTTTCTAAATGGGGAACTTCATGGGAAGGGCAGCCTGGTTCCTTATCTGGTGGTTTTGCTGGTAGCTTTGTCATATACCTGGTAATATATTTATTCAGGCTTGATGTCTTTAAAATGAATACTTTGGCAATCAAAAGCTCAATGTCAGGCACTTTTATTATAGTCAAAAAGCTTAATGTTGGGTGTTTATACTGCAGCCTGCTTTCTGCTATTTATTATGGACACAATTGTAAGTTATTAAGTTAGCATAATTTACTGAATATTCAAGAACATGATATTGAATTTGGCATCAACTTCTTATGTACTCTACTCCTACTAATTTAACATGAAAGCTGTATACCTACCATTGTTGGAAAGTTTTCTGTCATTTTTTTAAGGGTAGTTAGAAAAACTTTTATGTTTTTTAGAGCATATTAAGACTAATAAATTGAAGTGAATCACTGTGAAATTGGAGAAGAGAAAATTAAAAATAGGAATTATGATTTTTACTTTTCACTTTCATTCTGAAAATTATATTGATATCTTACTCTCTTGACACATATGACTAGTTAGCCTGAAATCCCATACAAACTAAATAAACACAAACAAAAAACCTATAAACCCCTAAATTTGTATAGGCATTCATGTTTTAAGGGGACATTAATCTTAGAGAATTAGCTTTACAAGTTAGTTGGCCTTCATGACCTCAATTTTCCTCCTCTCTGGCTGGTGATAGGATTTTAAATAATGTTGAGGATGTTACTCCTTTGAGTTACAACACTTTCAGTTGGTCATCAAATTTCCTTCCTTTAACACCTAGGTAGGAGTCACTGACAGTGGGGCATAAATTGGATAGATTCTTTGGTAAAAGGGGACCTACTAAAATGAGAGGCAGAAGGAGAAAGTTAACTTGTGTCATAGTTTTGTGAGGGATCAATCATCCTAATTGCTTACTGCTTAAATTATTAGGAAATAAAGTTAGTAAATTAAGCAGGTAGTTTCAACTATATTTTACTTATTTGTGTATGAAAGGATTTTATGAGATGTTGAAAGAAGAAAATGTGAGATTTCTAAACCAAAATTCAGATGAAAGATTAATACTATAAAAGGTGTACTTTAAATTTTTTTAAGTATATTTTATTGATTATGCTATTACAGTTGTCCCATTCTTTTTTCTCACTTTTATTCCTCCTTGCCTGGTACACCCATTCCCACCAGCATTCCCCCACTTTAGTTCACATCCATGGATTGTACATATAAGTTCTTTGGCTTCTCCATTTCCTATACTATTCTTAACCCTGTCTATTTTGTACCTACCAATTATACTTCTTATTGCTTGTGTGCTTTCACCCATGCTCCTCCTTTCCCCTCCCCGCTGATATCCCTCCATATGATATCTATTTCTGTGCTTCTGTTCCTGCTCTAGTTTTTTACTTATTTGTTTTTGTTTTTGTTTTTTATGTTAAATTGTTGATAGTTGTGAGTTTGTTGTCATTTTGCTGTTCATAGTTTTCATCTTCTTTTTCTTAGGTAAGTCCCTTAACATTTCATGTAATAAGGGTTTGGTGATGATGAACTCCTTTAACTTTACCTTATCTGGGAGGCACTTTATCTGCCCTTCCATTCTCAATGATAGCTTTGCTGGATAGAGTAGTCTTGGATGTAGATCCTTGCCTTTCATGACTTTGAATACTTTCCAGCTTCTTTTCTGAAAGGTTCCTTTTGAGAAATCAGCTGATAGTCTTATGGGAACTCCTTTGTGGGTAACTGTCTCCTTTTCTCTTGTTTCTTTTAAGAGTCTCTCCTCATCTTTAATCTTAGGTAATGTAATTATGATATGCCTTGTTGTGTGCTTCCTTGGGTGCAACTTCTTTGGGACTCTCTGAGCTTCCTGGATTTGCATGTCTATTTCCTTCACCCAAATTAGAGAAATTTTCTTTCATTATTTTTCCAGATAAGTTTTCATTTTGTTCCTTTTCCTCTTCCCCTTCTGGAACCCCTATGATTCAATGTTGGAATGTTTCAAGTTGTCCCAGACGTTCCTAAGCCTCTCCTCATATTTTTGGATTCTTGTTTCTTCATTCTGTTCTGTTGAATGTCTGTTTTTTCCTTTTGTTCCAATTGTTGATTTGAGTCCTGGTTTCCTTCACTTCTCTGTTGGTTCCCTGTATATTTTTCTTTATTTCACTTTGTATAGCCTTTGCTTCTTCCTTTATTTTGCATCTGTACCCAATAATTTCTGTGAGCATCCTGATTACCAGTGTTTTGAACTCCGCATTTAATAGGTTGAGTATCTCCACATCGCTTAGTTCTTTTTCTGGTGTTTTGATCTGTTCTTTCATTTGGGCTATGTTTCTTTGTCTTGGTGCACCTGTTACATTGTAAGGGGCCTTAGGTATTCACTAGGGCATGGCAATCCACTTTGTTGTGTTGTGGCCCAGTATTAGGGGGTGGCTCAGGGAGGGAGTAATACTGCCTGCTTGGCTCTCAATCCGCTTTCAAGAGACTGGCAGTTTCTCCCGCCTCACAGCCCCCAGAGGTTTTTAAAGCCAAAGGTTCTGAGGCTTTATTTTCCCCTGCACTGGGACCCTGGGTTGTGCTGTCTATCTTGGGCCCCAGTTGTTCCTTCAGGTTTATCCACACAGGAATGTGGGCCCCCCCAGTTTGCCAGCTTCTGCCTTGCTGGCATCCTCTCCTCCCCAGCTGCCCATCTCCGCCCCTCCTACCAGTCTGGATGAATGTTTCTTCTTTAACTCCTCGATTGTTGGACTTCCATACAGTTTGATTTTCTGTCAGTTCTGGTTGTTTTTTGTTTTTGAATTGATTGTTTACTTCTTTTGGTTGTGTGAGGAGGCGAAGCATATTTACCTACACCTCCGTCTTGGTCAGAACTCAAAAAGATGTGTTTATTAAAAGCAGTTACTGTAAGGCCAGCATCTGTAGGAATGATTGTGGGAAGCCGGCGTCTATAGGAGTGATTGTGTGGGGTATATGGTAAGAATGACAGCTAACAATTATCTCAGGCAAGAGTTGGCAAGGTTTTTCTGTAAAGGACCAGGTAGTAAACAACCCTAGGTTTCTCAGGCCACATGATCTCTGATTAACTACTCATCTCTGCTATTATGTCATGAAAGTGGCCATAGACAACATGTAAATGAATGGGCCTGTGTTCCAATTAATCTTTATTTATTTATATTAATCTTTATATAAATATTTATTTATATGAGCTAGATTGTAGTTTGCCCATCCCCTGATCTAGGTTAAGGAAATTTTTCAGAGACTTAGTGGTTTTTAATACAGAAACTGTAGGATTAAAAAATCCATTTTCAATTATGTGATTTTGTTTTTCTTTATTAATAGGTGAACATTATACCAGTGATTGCCAAAGCAGATGCAATTTCTAAAACTGAATTACAGAAGTTTAAGATCAAACTCATGAGTGAACTGGTCAGCAATGGCGTCCAGACATACCAGTTCCCAACAGATGATGAAACTGTTGCTAAAATCAATGCTTCAATGAATGTGAGCTCCTAACTGAATATCAATTGTTTTATGTGTAGAAAATAAGTAATTTATAGATAACACTGCTACTACTATATTTTCACTTAGGTTTTCCCAAAAAACAAGGTGAATTTTTAAAAAGTCTAGCCTGGGAAAATGTTTAGTTTTCTAGAGTAAAAAGTAAAATAAGAATATATTTTCTTTCCTCTGTACTTTCATGTAGGTGTGGCTCAGTTGGTTGGGCATCATCCAGCAAACTGAAAAGTCGTTGGTTTGATTCCTGGTCAGGACACATGCCTAGGTTGTTCCTTCCCGGTTGGGGCATATATGGAAGTCAACTAATTGACATATCTCTCACGCATCGATGTTTCTCTCCCTCTCTTCCCTCGCTGAATAAATAAATAATTAATATATAATGATACATTTTTATACTGGGATACTCCTTTTTTGGAACCATACTTAATTGCCTTAAAGACATCTTTCTATTCTTTCTTTATAAACTGGAGAAGACTTTATGGTCCCCTGTGGATGCTATAGAATCTTAAAATCTTTTAAGATCTTTCTAATCTGTTGTTTAAATTCATTCTTCCTTACAGTGTCACATGTACATATTAAGCATTCATAAAACTTTTAGTTTACTTCACCTGAAGATGATCTTTGTGTTACTTTCTTCAGGCTACCAAATTTGTTAAATATCTTGTTACATTTTGAAGGATCATGGGTTTTGGAATCAGACAGATTTAACCATGTTCTTGTGAAAGTTATTAACCTCCCCTAAGCCTGTTAACTTATCCACAAAATTGAGTTAATAATACCTATCTTAAGTGTTGTTGAGAGGATACATATTTTTATAAATATTTTTAAAATTTTACTCAGTTTTGGAGAGAGGAGGAAGGGAGGGAGAAAGAGGGGGAGAGAAATGTCAAGGTGTGAGAGAAACATCTATCCATTGCCTCTCACAGGCCCTCAATTGGGTACTAGCCTGCATCCAGGCATGTGCCCTGACTGGAGTTGAACCAGTGACCTTTTGGTTCACAGGCTGGCCATCAGTCCACTGAGTCACACCAGCCAGGGTGACTAGCTACAGCGTTTGTGCACCGCTTAATGTGACATTCAGTAACTGTTCATTCCATTTCTCCTTTTTCCCTTTTCTGACTTTTCATAATCCCATTTAAGATACTTAAACTAAATATATAAAAAGTTGATTATTGTAAATGTAAGTAATTTTAATTCTTATGTGTCATATTGTCTTTACATCTAATTTTATTTCAATGCCCATCTGGAATATATTTCAGAAAGGCACAATTAAGAGACTAATAATGTCAATTATTAAATACTAAACATAATACTTAATATTGTTTATGTTAGACTTTTCCCCTTTATTAATCCTCAGCTTCAGACAGACCAATTTGCTCATTGACCCTGAATCTACCTTTTGTGTGTTCTTTCAAAATTCTCTCCTTACCTAAGCTAGTTCTCCCTCTCTGCTTGATTCATCTTTAGTCTGTGTTGTATCTTCCTGCTCACAGTGATCTTCCACTTCTCTAAATTTCTGTAACATTCATTATATTTAGCATTAGTTTGGGACTTAAATATTATCTATGTATAAAATAAATATAGGTATATACTTAATTTCATTACATGTATGTCTGCATATCTATGTATACACACACAAACACATACAGGGGTCTGGCACAAATAATGCCCCATCTTTTATTACAAAATCATTTGCAGGCAATTCTGTAACATAACAATATCACACTAAAGCATACCATGTGACATTTTAGGTGAAATGTTCAAATTAAAACTAAAATTACCACACTCATTATCCTACCAACCACACTCAAGCAGGCATTACATATATATGAATTTATTTGGAAAAAGTCCAGCCATTGTTAATATAATGAGAACAGTTTTTGTAACATCAGTATAACCTGGCAGCTAAGAAGAGTGGACTGGAATGCACATGTGAGAACAATGATGATTTCACTATACTAGTCAGTGGGGGCAGTAGACACCCATTGAGTAAGCATGTGTACTGTGTGGCTGTTGCATTCAAAATGGCTGAGCGAACAACGAATCTACATCAGATTTTTGTGTTAAGCTTGAACGTTTCTCTGTGGAAACTATTTGGCTGATTCAGAAGGCTGCAGCTATGGGCAACCTGTGATTGGCAGCTTCATCATGACAATGCTCCAGTTCATTCATCACATCTTATGCAGTTTTGGTAAAACATCCATCAAATCACCCAAGTGACTCAGTCCCCCTACAGCCCAGATTTGGTGCCCTGTGACTTCTGGCTTTTCCCAAAACTAAAATCACCTTTGAAAGGGAAGAAATTTGAGGCCATCAGTATATTCAGGAAAATATGACAGGGCAGTTGATGGTGATTGGGAGAACTGCAGGGTCCCAAGGTGTCTATTCTGAAGGGGACTGAGATGTCATTGTCCTATGTACAATGTTTCTTGTATCTTCAGTAAATGTTCCTGTTTTTCATGTCAGGTGGCTGGATACTTTCTGGAGTGTGTGTGTGTGTGTGTGTGTGTGTGTGTGTGTGAGAGAGAGAGAGAGAGAGAGAGAGAGATATTTCCTCACCATTATCCTTGTCTTTTACGGCAAAGATAATGAGGGAAGTAATACCTATACAATATACACTGGAATTCTTTTCTTTTTTTATATTCCCATATCATAATACTTTTCATGTGAGGGATATTCAATAAATTATTTTCTTTACAGGGCCTGAAAATGACTCTTATAGTAGAATTGTCACATATTCACTGTCAAGTTTTAAAATCAGAGGTATGGCAGATCATTTGATTTTAATAAATTTGCTATTTAATTAATTTTCCCTGTTATATTGTGGTTTCTTTCTAGGGACACTTGCCATTTGCTGTTGTAGGAAGTATGGATGAGGTAAAAGTTGGAAATAAGATGGTCAAAGCTCGTCAGTACCCTTGGGGTGTTGTTCAAGGTAAATGAGATAAATAATGACTAGAATATTTTTGTCACCCAATAGTCTCAAAGTTGCACTCAATGCATTCTTTGAGGTGAAGCTTATTTTTTATTATGATTTTGTGGTCAGAAAAATTGACCATGTCCTATTTAGCCAAGTCTGTAAAGACCAGGCAGAATCTCCCTGTTACCTGCTCAGGTACACCAAGACATTCAGAAAGTAGGACACAATGATCAGGCACTTTGAACAAAATTTGAGTGTAAATAGTAGTGTTTAAACATGATACATAAGTTAATTACTAGGTAATTCTAGGGTACAATAAACCATCTTATATATTTATACTACAAAGTATTGTCATCTATTTCCTGAATAAACCAGTCAGCCACCTAAAAAATGTTAGGATTTATTTAGCATTATAGTTAGTAAATAATTAGTACTATGTGGTTCATTTACTTGTGATAGTAATTAATGGGGAATGGATTGCACTTGCTAGTACTGGTTTCCCAATACTGCTCTTTTAAATTGACTAATGTTATAATGGATGAAAAATATTGGAAAATTTAACATTTTTAATGTATAAAAATATTAAAAAATAACTGTGCTTAAACAATAACGTATTTATTTGCAGTCTTCTGGTCCCCATAAACGTAGGAGGACCATGTAAATTTATTCACTAATTACCTAACACAGTATTGTAAATGTAGCATTGTATAAAAAGAATTTGATAGTTATAGTATACACAGATGGGATTCTTGAGTATGCAGAATTTACTACTTTGAAGTTTTACTTTGAAGTGAAATAATGTTAGATATATTTCTAAGCACTATGTGAAGTATCCTGCATATGATTTGTAAACTGCTAACACGGTATTAGTAGAATAACTGGAGAACATGGTAATATAATATAGTGCCTTTCTTTCCTTTTCTTGTTTATCCATTTGCTACTAAATTTAAAGCAAATCTCCCAGCCTGATAATTAATGTTGCCTATAATTCAGTGTGTATTATACAAGAGTATCTTCCTTGGTTACGTGTATAGAACAATTGTAACTGTTAAGCAGACTTATCATTTCACTGTATGTTATTTAAAATATTTTTATTTATTCATTCAACAAATACTAATTATGTGTCAGGAATTAAAAACTTGTGTTTCTTGTTTTTCTGGCTAGTGGAAAACGAAAACCACTGTGACTTTGTAAAGCTCCGGGAAATGCTCATTTGCACAAACATGGAGGACCTGCGAGAACAGACCCACTCTAGGCACTACGAACTGTACAGGCGCTGCAAACTAGAGGAAATGGGCTTTACTGACGTGGGCCCAGAGAGTAAGCCGCTCAGGTAAGGGGCTTCTCTAAGAAATAAACCAAAGAGGAAGTTAGAGAGTGTTGTACCTTTTTATAGATCCAGAATGATGGAAAATGTGTTTTTCAGAAATCTCTCAACATAAAGTAGAACCATTTGATGATTAATTATTGTGCCTCTCAGATCACTTGAAGGCTTCTTGCTTTTAAGGGCTCTAAGTCCTTGCCTAACTGAAGGAGTTATGTAGAATGAAGAATATATGGCAAAAGGCTGATATTTCAGTATATGCTGAAATGAATACTAGTAACTAAAGGAAAACTTTTAATTTGGTTATACTTTTTATTTATCTGAAAAAGATAAAAACATATATATCTATTATTATGAAAGAAAGTTGCAATGTGAGCCATACTAAATAAATTAAAAACTGTTGTTTTTTATCCTGATGAATGCTTTAGAATGACTTAAGTTTCGGAAAATACAAAGGAAGAATGAAAGTACATATAGGGAGTCAGAAATTAGACTCTTTCTTAAATATTACAATATAGTTACAAGACTTTTAGAATCGGATGACCTTCTTATGATGAGCATTAAATGTTATAAACTTGCTTCGTAATTTTTAATGCTGCTACATTCCTTTTTTTAAAAATTAAGATGTGTAAACATGAAATTCTAATATACTAAGTCATAGCATTACAGAATAGTTTTTGCATGGAGGATAGCATGAGATCTTTAAACTCTATTATGAAACTAAGGATTTTTTTTCCATTTGATTATTTGCATTTCAGTCATTTCCTTGGCTCTTGGTACTTGCACCAGAGTAAATAAAAGGAAGGAAGAAGAGAACATTAAATTGATGCTGCTGTTGCATATGACCTGATTTAATAGATGAGGTTAAATTTTTAAATTTTTTCAACCTATGGATTTAATTAGTGTACTAGCTCTGGGAGCATAATAAATTAAGAATTATATGTACTTACCTATTTACCCTCCTTACCTATTTAGGAATGTTATGTGTCTAGTTATGGGCCAATTCTAGTAAAATGATTATGTTCTCTATTAACGATAAGTCACCTAGAGCTGGCTTCTTTAATGTTTTCCAGAGGAGGCTTTGCTTTTCCTTTTTTCGAGTCTCAGGGTCACCTCGGAAGTTTCTGCGTGCATTAATGTGAGAGCAAGTGGGAGAGCCTTGCAGTATTCCGAGAATGGAGATTCAGGGTGCTAGTCACTCATCAGTCACCTGTGGATGATTAAGACATGCAGGTTCAGAATTTCTAGGGATGGAGCCTAAGAATCTTCATTTAAAGTAATGTTCCCAATTCAGTCATTTAGCAGATATTTACTGTTTGTCTGCTCTCTCTCTCTGCCCAGCATGATGCTAGTTACTGGCTATATGTTCACTGTGGGATTAAACAAAGACCCCTGCCCTTGTCGAGTTTCTGAGGTGGGAGTGGGAAGAAGACATTCTGGCCCTGCGTGGGAAATAGAGTATGGGGATGTAGTCAGAAGTGGAAGTTAGGAGACCAAATTGGGAGGCTACTATAGTAGTCCAAGCAAGAGAAGACAGAGGTTTGGGTTAGGGTAGTAGTGGTAAAGGTTGTCAAAAGCATACTTAGGATAAGTAATTTGAAGGTAAAGTTAATAAGGCTCATTGATTGTTGGATATAGGATATAAAGGAGAGATGAATTGAGGATGACTCCAGTTACCACTTTTGATGTGAGAAGCTGGGTGAATGGTGGTGATGTTTATTGATATGAGCAAGATTGGGAAAGTGGCAGGTTTGGGGTGTCGTGGTTGGTAATGAAGAGGTTTGGGACATGTTAAATTTAAGTTGCTTATTAAATATTCAGGTAAAGAATTTGGCTAGGTTATTTCATAAGTAAATCTGGAGTTTGGTGAGAAGTTAGTTTGAGATTCAACAGCGAATACTGTATAAAATTATAAGTATTTTTAAAGTGTCTATTATTGACAAGGCTCTGGACTAAGTGCTGGAGATACAATACTGGATATGGTCATACAGTTGTGACTATCATGTAGCTTACATTCTTGTAGGGAAGGGCAAAATCAAACAGCTAATTGCACAATAAATTACAGTTGTGAAATGTGCACTAATGAGAGATAGTATGTAATGGGGGAGGGTGTCCTGGTTTATTAGAGAAAATTGGGGAAGATTTCCTTGAGGCAGTTACAGTTTTGAGCTATAATAACATGGGGAAAACAGAGCAAGACATATGTAAAAATCTGAAGGGCAGAGAATAAATGGCATCTTTAAGACTCTGGAAGAAATTCAGTGCAGCAAGAAATTCAGTGCAGCTGAAGAGAAGAGGGGATGGCATAAGGCTGTGGGAGCAGGTAGGCAGGAGTTAAACCATGGAGGCCCTGGTGAGGATTTGGTCTTTGTCCTAAGGAAAGGCAGAGTCCTCAAAGGAGTGATATCATAATAGCATTTTAAAAAAATCACTCAGCTATACTGTAAAGGTATAAAGGAGTATACAAAGATTCTTAGTAGAAACCAGTTAGGAGAGTGTTGCAGGGACTAAAGTAACAGCAATAAAAGTAGAATTGGTCATGTTTAAGAGTTATCCAGAAGGTGAAACTGAAAGAACTTAGTGATTGTTAAGATACGATAAGATGAAGAAGTAGAAGATGCTAGAGGAAGACTTCTAGTCTCCTGGATTTATGATTTCATTGTCTAGGTTGTGCCATTCATCAGGACAGGTGTCTCTTGAGGAAGACTAGCTTTTTAGAGAGGGTAGGGGCAGCAGTGATTGGCATGATGGAGATCATAGGCTCAGTTTGGAACCTGCTGACTTTGCGTTTTCCACTGAAACATCCAAGTAACAATATCAAATGGCATTTTGGATATTTACCTGGAGCCTAGGGTAAAGGGCTGAGCCAAAACAATTTATTTTTATGTTCTATTACAGTTGTCCCATTTTTTTCCTTTTACCCCCCTCCACCCAGCCCACCCCTCCAGCCCACAGTCAATCCTCTCTCCATTTGTTCATGTCTATGAGTCATTCATTCATGTTCTTTGACCAGTCCCTTCCCCTTCCTTCCACTGTTCTCCCCTTTCTCCTCCCTCCTTCAGCTATCAGTCTGTTCCATTTTCCATGTCTCTGGTTCTGTTTTTCCTGTTAGTTTATTTTGTTCATTAGATTCTGGGTATAAGTCACGTCATATGGTATTTGTCTTTGGCCAACTGTCTTATTTCATTTAGATGGTTTATTGAATATATGAGTATAGACGAGATTGCTTGGAGAGAGAAGCACATCTGTAAAAAAAGTTCCCTTAAAAACAGCCTTGAGTCCCTCTAATATTTGTCAGCTAGAGAAGCAGATAGAAGATACTGAGAGGCTTTGGGTAGAGGAAGGAGGGAAACCAGCAATGTCATGTCTTTGAAGCCAAGTGAAGAGGGTTTCAAGAAAAAAAGAAAAGGCCAGCTGTGAAGTTGAGGATCAGGTTTTCTCTGTAGAAGTGCAGCAGTGCAATACATTCCAGTTGCTTCCTTTATAGTTCTTAGAAAATAATGAAGAGCTCTCCATCTAACACAGAAGGAGCAGTATTTGCCAGACTGCATAGGCCAAGACTTACAAATTCAAAGGAAATGTTTAGAACAAGTAGAAATGAGTTTTATTCCTGTGCTGGGAGTTGAATGAATTAACTGAAACCATTTCCAACCTCTTTGTTCTCTGCTCAGCAACTCATAGCCCAAGAATGGGCTATAGGGTGTTCAGTAGGTCCAGCTTAGGACTTGTACCCATGTTTTGGCAAGGGGCGGAGACGCACCTGATTAATTGTCCCAACAGGCTGTATCCATGGTGGAGACCTAGTGCTCCAAAAGGTAATCAGAGTAATGATACCAAAAGGAGGTAGACAGATGGTGGGCAGTCAAGAGTCAGTGACTGCTCAGATCATCCATTTATTGAGCCTTCCATCAGTTTGGGAAACATCTGTTTACTGATAGATAAAAAATGGAAAATTAGAAAAGGGGCTTTCTCTAGTTTAGGCCAGGTTACACAGGTTGAAAACGGAGCAGTGACTGTAGGTTGCTTCCAGAGGACAAGCAAGAACAACGGGGAACAAACTAGATGCTGTGTGAGGGAGCCTCTGCCTGCATGCCTAGGAGTCTGAGTCCTGTGCCCTTTTCAGGCCTGCTCTCCTTGAGACAGAAGACATTTCATACTACATTTCTTGGGTCAGGTGCAGCAAAATGCCTCTTCTCTTGGTACTTTCTCATTTGTGGATAAATTATTTAATTAAAGCTTCTATAGTTCATTATAGCCTGATGTCTTAGTAAGGTTTTACTTTTGTAGTTTCAAGAAGGTACATCCTATTTTCTGGGGAATCTTTCCCATAATTTGGGGTGTATATAACAGTAGTCACTATAATTTGTTTGGCATGTAGTCTGTCCCACAGTATGAATCTATATATGAATAAAAAATAGTTACATGAACCTGGTAGGATGGCCTTTATTTCTCTTTACTACATAGTCCTCTTCACTGCCAGTCTTTTGGCTTATTTTTCCATTTACATTTTATTGAATGACTGCCAAGTCATGGTTAGTGTCCTAATCTATCAGCACTGAGCGTTTGCTTATTATGAAGTCTAAGTAATTGGCATTATGTTTTTATCATTTTAATGAACTGATCTTCAATTATTTAAGCTATATGAAACATACTTTTATAAACTACTTAAATCCCCAAGTTAATTTAAATTAACCTAACAAGTCTTGTTCCCAATCACCTTTAACATTTGAGTACAAAATCATTGTCTTTGAAGTGTTATGAGATCTGATTTTAAAAGGAAGGATTTAGTAGTATTTTAAAGTTTGCTTACGTGTTTGACATAATATTTTGTGGCTTTGGAACTCTCAATAAATAAATAATTATTTTTTAAGAATTTGGTCTACAGTAGAAGTGGAAAAAGTCAATCAGGCTTATTAGAACTATCATAAAACAAAGTGAAAGGACTGGAATGGTTTTCTTGATAAACATGAGCATCTGAGAATTATTTTTCTTCCTTTTTGGTTTTCAACTTTGCTCTAAATTGGTGATGTTTGCAACTTTAGTACTATGTTATATACATTAAACATTCATGACGACAAGCTACTTTTATACTAGAAAAAGGAGTAGCATAGCAGGGAAACTATTCTTCATTTTTATTTGATAAATAAAACCATGATAGTAAACAATAGTTGCATTAGTTTTACAACACTATATGAACCATTTCCTTTTAGATCTAAGGGTTTCTTTATCATCTTTTTGAAAGACAGTGCAAGTTTCTGACCTTTCAGTTAGCTTTATAGTTTACATTGTCTAAGTTGGAAAGCACTGTGGTGAGATGGGAAATGTACAAAGCAGTCAATTCTTTTTATCTTTTGCTGAGGCTTCCCTTCAGTATAATCTGTTTATGGTAGTTAGGAATATGGCTTTGGAGCAGGCCTCATCTGGTTCGCATCCCAGCTTTTAACTTACCAGCTATGTTACTTTAGGCAGATTACCTCTCCGGCTTTAGTTTTCTTACCTGTAAAGCAGAGTATTGACACTTGTTCTTCATTGTGTCTCCATTAGTTGCCATGAATTAGGTAGTGACAGGAGTCCAGAAAAGTACCATGTTCATAGCAACTATTCAATAAATGTTAGGTCTTTTTGCTGGGTAGATTTATTTTCCCCTGAGCAACTCAAGTGCTTATATAAATACGTTAATGAGAACTTTTTTAAACTTACATTTGATATGAATTCAAGATGTTATTTAAACCAAGTTTGTCACTAAAAACTACCAGCCTTTTGTAGGACCAGCAAAATGTGGTGAAGTTTCTGAAAATGGTGAAAGTAGGCTGATAGATTTAAGCTATAGAGGCTTCTTTAAAATAAGACCAAAACAAATACAGAAAAACAAGAACCTGGTTAAAAACTAAAATACCTCATTGAGATTTGAAGCATTTATGTGATTACCTAGAACATTTTATATAAGTTTTACTCTTTTTTAACTTCCTACTGAATTTATTGGGGTGATATTGGTTAATAAAATTATATAGGTTTCAGGGGTACAAGTCTATAATACATCATCTGTATATTGTACTGTGTGTTCACCATCCCAAGTCAAGTCTCCTTCCATCACCATCTTTACCCTCTTCTACCTCCCTCACCTCCCCTTCCCCTCTGATAATCACCATACTGTTGTCTATGTCTGTTGAGTTTTATTTTTATTTGCTTAATCCTTTCTCCTTTTCCACCCAACCCGCTAATCCTTCTCTCTGACAGCTGTCAGTCTGTTCTCTATATTTGTGAGTCTTTCTATTTTGTTTGTTAGTCCATTTTGTTCATTAGATTCCACATGTAAGTGCAATCATATGGTACTTGTCTTTCTCTGATTGGCTTAATTCACTTAGCATAATGCTTTCCATGTCCATCCATGCTCTTAAAGACAGTGTTCGGTATCTATTCCTCCTCTGAGTACCTGCTATGTATACCACACTCACTAACAGCTGTGATGACTATTGTGCAACATTCCTTACTCTGTTTTTCCTTGAACTTATAGAATTTTATGCTTAAAAAGATTTATTTCTCCTGTTACAATATTTAAAATTAGTAAAATTTCTTAATTTATCACATTTCAAATTGGACAGTCTTTGCTTGGTTAAATTTAGGTCTACCTCCTGACAATTTCTGTCATTAAATGAACATTTATGAAGACACTGAAATGTCTAGAGAGCTCTGCTGCAGAAGTGGGTTACAAAGATGATGAACTATTAGAAGAGAGGTAGGTGGGATATAAATGTCAGGAGAGAGATGTAAACAAAGAGCCATGGAGGTGCTTGTCAGAACAGTTAGCTCTAGTCAGGGAGGCTGGAAAAGACTCTGTAGTGGAAGTTGCATTTGAATTTGGCTTGAGGAGGAGCTGAGTAGAATTAGAGGTGAGCTCGGAAAAGGGCAATGACATTGGAAGCAGAGGAGGTGCAACAAATTAAAGCATGAAGTGAGTAGCATGTTAGGAACAATGAGTAGGTTGGTATGGCTGGAACCTTAAGGTGATTTGGATTTGTTTGGTAAGAAATGAATGTGGGAAGGTGGAATTAGGCCAAATTGTTAAGTGTCTTAAGTGTCCATTAAAAAATGGGGAGCCTTGCTCTGCAGATAACATCACTCTAATGCAGAGAAAAAAGGTAGTGAGCTCTGTGGTCTTGGTGAAGAATTTTAGGAGTGATAAGAAGAACAAAGTGAAAAAAAAGAAGAACTAAAAGCCCAGAAATCAATTATGAGATTATTCCAATATTGAAGATAGAAAATCACAGCCTGGCTGGTGTGGCTCGGGATGAGTGCTGGCCTGTGAATCCAATGGTCACTAGTTTGATTCCCACATGCCTGGGTTGAGAGCCAGGTCCCCAGGGGGACGCATGAGAGGCAACCACCCATTAATCTTTCTCTCCTCCTGTTTCTTCCTCCCTTCCCCTCTCTAAAAATAACTAAATAAAATCTTTAAAAAAATAAGATTTCTTAAAAAAAGAGGAAAAAAATCACAAACATCAAATTGGGCTGTAACAAGGCTACTGTAGCCATCAGAAGACTGGATTTAAATGATGTGTCAGGGTCACAGGCTGAACTCACAGACCTTGGTGATTGGATAAAGATAAGGGAAGTGTCAAAGATGACTTCAGAACTTTGAGCTCAGTTTCCAGACACAATGATGCCAAATTAACAAAGATTGAAAGAGGACTTTCCTTTGAGGTAAAATGAGAGTACTTACTGTGAAGGACTTGATAAAGCAGAATTTTCAAAATTCTAGTGCTCTCTAATAGCTGCAGCGCTAATGACTTTATATGACTTCTGCCATGGGAAATCTCATGTTTAGGTTGTTCTATGTAAGAAGATATTCACACATGGTATAGTTATGAGGCTTAACCTGAGATATTTGATTTTTTGCAAATTTGTTACACATTTTTTTAACAAGAGAATACTATAAAAACTGTTTAGTCTTCAAGAGACCTACGAAACCAAAAGACACGAGTTTTATGGGGAACTCCAGAGGAAGGAAGAAGAGATGAAGCAGATGTTTGTGCAGCGAGTGAAGGAGAAAGAAGCCATACTAAAAGAAGCTGAAAGAGAGGCAAGTACACTAATTTGATGGGATTTGCATTTTTAGGTGTCCTATTAATTTGAGGGATTTATCTCAAGAACTTAGTTGAGATGCTAGTTATTAGGTTAAAAAACTAGCTGTTTTAACACATAGTCTTTTTAAAAATTATAGACTGAACTCAAATAAAAATTTTGGCTTTTATGCACAGTGGTCATCCTTTAGAAGTGGGTTACCAAAGGCTTGTAATAAACCAGTTTACCAAGAAGTATTTTAAATATATTAACCATGAGCCAGAAGTGTTTTAGCTCTGACTTGATAAAGCCTTTCTGAGAGTTTTTGAGAGTTGTTGGGATTGTGTTTTGCTGTGAAATAGGTAACTATAAAAGCTGTTTAAGAAGCTTTTTGAGGATAAACTCAGGCTTTCCATGGTGTAGATAAAAATAACCTTTGGATAGCTGTGGCACAAGTAAATATCAGCAATGAATTCCTGGAGTTTTGTTTGCTTCTCGTTCTTCAAGCAACAATTTTAGTTTTACTTATGTTCTGCTATTTTTTATAGATTTGTAGACCTAACTGCAGTGGCTATTTTTAAGCCATTCAGATGAAGCTCAAAAAGGATGAGCTGAAAAAAAGAATTTCTAGAAGACAGAAATGTTAATAAAAATGAGCTTTATAACACAAGAGTTCCTGAAGAGTTATTTGTAATTTAATTTTACAAATTTATTATTTCAAGTACACTTACACTACTTGATATTTAAATAGTAAATGGTTTTGTAAAATTATCTATTAATAAATTCTATTTATACTTTGAATTTTGATCTTTTTTTTGAAAAAGTTGAAATAATAGGAAAGCTAAAGTACAGAGTACCCTTGTGTCCCTCCCCACACCTAAATTTAGCAGTGAACATCTTGTTGTCTTTATTTTATTGTGTGTGTAATTTTCCTTGGTCATCTAAAGCTGGTTGCAGACATTGTGGCACTTTATCTCTGGGGGACATCTCTGAAACTTGGGTATATTTTTTTTCATAACTATAATAATGATATTATACCTTAGAAAATTAATGGGAATGCCATAATCTCACCGAATCTCCAGTCCATATTCAAATTTCCCCAGTTGTCTCAAGATTGTCTATTTTTTTTTTATGTTAAGTTTTTGTTTTTGAACCAGAATTAAATCACAGGTCTCTTATTGCATTTGGGTATTCTGTTTCTTTTATTTTTTAATTTAATTTTAATTTATTTTTTCAAATACATTTGTCTCTGCCTACCCGCCACGACTTTCCCTTGCCCCGTCCCTCCTTCCCTCCCTCAGCTCTTCCCCTTTGGTTTTGTCCATGAGTCCTTGCTATTAAATCACAGGTCTCTTATTGCATTTGGGTATTCTGTTTCTTTAGTCTCTTTGAAACTAGTCCCTAACTTATAGTTATTTTTAAATACAAATATTGAGGAAGGAGTTGTGATGATTAGGAAATAAGGATGATGATATTCTGATTTTTAAATGGTAGTAGAGTAAAATTCTTTCAAGTGTTTCTCATATATCATGATTCTTAGTTTCTCCAATGAAAGAGAAGTGAAGTGGTTTATAGATGAGTTTTAATTTTTAAAATCCCACATAAGAATATTTTGCTTAAAGATGTATTTAAAAGGAAATTAAAAATTCAGGGTAACCAAATGATTGAAAAAAGAGGGAAATACTCTTTGTCAGTAGGTCCTTTGTAGAGTTTTTTTGTGTGTGTGTGATTCAAGTGCTATTTTGCATTGAGTATATATTAAACTAACAAAGAAGCTAATTTAAAACTAAGTTACCAACAGCCAACATTGTCAAAGGGGTTCTAAACTTTCGATTATATAGCTTTAGAGGCAGTAGATTACTGGCCTGTTTCATTGATGTTACAAGGTACCTAATGACCAGTTTTCATGCTGTAAATCCAATATTGTTGATACTTTAGAGTCAGGGTCAGTAAGCTGAAGAAGGGCATCTAGTCAATAATCATTACTCCATGAGACCAGAGTTATCTACAGAAGGATTAAGGAAGACAGTATGATTTGCTGCTTTAATTAGGATGATTTTAGAGGGAAAGAGGGCTTATTAATAATTACACTGGAACAGTAGGTAGGTGTAAACCAGGTCTCTTCAGAGCAAACCAGGACATTTGGTCACCCAATAGTTGGCTGCTAACATTTTAAAGCTAGTTATATCAGTAAGGTACTGGAAGTCACTAATAAAAAGATAATTTAGGTAACCCAAAACATTATTTAATTCAGTATTAGGTGACCTTGATATTTAAAATATCCTTGTCAATACTGTTATAAAACAAATGCTCTTAAATTTATCTTTTGTATAAGACTGGATTTTATTATATAGTTAGTTTAAAATGTGAACATTAGATAGTGAGAGGAAGGAGATATACAGAACAAATGTTACCTCAAAATACTGTTTGAATGTTCTTTTGTACATCTTTGTCACATCATTCTAAATGTACTAATGAGGCATTTCTCTTCCCCCACTACAAGAAGAAGTACAGTTTATCTCTTAAGTAAAGCATATAACCATCATTAAATTGCTACTACTTTCCTGTTTTATATGTTTACTTTGCCATAATTTTTCATTTAATTGATACCTCTCCTGTTTCCAAAAGTATTCTAGATGATTTCCAATTAAAAAAAGGCAGCTGCATTATCATTGTGAACATGAGAGTACAGGAACATTATAATGCAGGATAGGAAGGAGGGGTTTGCCCATAGGTACAGCCAAGAGCCAAGGCTCAAGGTAACTTCTCAGTGAACACAGACAGCCTTCCAGGCAGTCAAGGAGAAAAGGGAGCACAGTGAGGTACAAAACTCAGATTAACGATAATCTAGTTCAGTGAAAGAGGAATGTTGTCTCTCGCATTTATTTCTAAAAAATGGATACGTTTAAAAGGATCATTGAGTAACAGAATGTGTAACATCCTTACAAGTAGCATTTACAAAAGATACAACAATGTACCATACTGATAATAGTCTTAAGAGCACAATAACACAAAAAGTCTACTTTTCAAAAACTTTTTTGATTAATATTTGGAGATGTTTGAATTAAATGCCTGTTGCAGTGAATAATGGGACCATGAGTGAGTGCTTCATGTATATGATATCAAAAGCTGTGGGCTCCACATAATATAAATAATAGTCACATTCACACCTTTGCTGCTTCCCCTTTTTTAAATCATTTTTCTTGTTACAGTTTTCTGGAACTTTTATCAACCTTATGAATGAAATATGAAGTACTCTCTAACCTTTCAAGATATCTATGTATGTACTTAAGTAATCAGAGAGATATATATATTCACATAAATATAAATGTGCCCCTAAATTCTCAATTTCTAAGTTTCACCCTCCACACTGCTCCTCTCCCAAATTTATAGGGGGTGCACACATGTTCAGGGAGCTGTAGACTTTATTTATACTACTGATTTGAATAACAACTATATGAGTTCCATCCTGTAAACATACACAACACACACACATATCTTTTTATAGACACAGGGACCATTTAAATCCTTTTTTTTTCTTTAATTTTTTTAAATTGATTTTTTAGAAATTAGAAAGGGAGAGAAACATCAATTTATTGTTCCACTTATGCATTCATTGGTTGATTCTTTTATGTGCCCTGGCATATCGGGATGACATTCTAACCAGCTGAGCTGCCCAGCGTGGACTGAGCAGGAGCCATAAATAAGCAAGTACTAAGGAATTGATGCTTCTTTGACATAACATCCTCAAGACTGAAAGGGTCTTAGGGGAGAAAAGCCTCACTTAATCTGCTTCGACCTTATTCAGCCTCCATATAAATACTTCCATATAAATACTTCTATCAGGGACTTTCTGGCTCCCTAGACACCTATTCCATAGTTGGAATATTTAATTTGTGTTAAGATGGAGTTCTGCTTTCTCCAGTTCCTACTGTTAGCCTCTGATTTTTAGTGAAGTATTTCCTCAATTGTTATATGCCGTCTTTTCTAGAAATCAAGTTTTACTTTTTGTATGAATGTTAGGTTGTTGCCTAGAACTAAAAATAACATTTAAAGTTTATTTAACCAGGCTAGAAGATCAGGGAAAAAAGATATCTTTTTGGTATAGATTTAGAATGCTTATGTTTGTGGCACTCAGTTGATCTATATGGAGTCCACTGAAGTCCCTAGATTTTTTTTCAGATAAACAAACCATGGAAGCTCATGTTATAATGTTATAAACCTTTGTAAAACTCATTTTAATGGCTGCATTAAGTGTACTCAGCATAAATTTATTATTTTTTTACTTTATTTCTCTTAGACACAGGCTATTTTTTTCCAATATGGGATAAATTCTACAGTACTTTTTCTTCAAATTTAGGATGTTGTGATTTAGTTTAAATTTCCAGAAGGTCAATGACTATGAAAAATCTAGAACAGATTTTTAAGGTTCTTGATCTTAACTGACAGCTTTGCTTTCCAAACATATTTTTCAGTGTAATTTTCAATAACTGTTTCACTACAAATGATAACTTTATTTGGAAAATAAGGGTTTTTTGTTTGTTTGTTTATTTGTTTTTGATAACTTCTTCTGTATTTTGGGTCCCTCACTTTTATTGAGCATGGATTTTTAGAAACTGTATTTGAAGAGGCTTTGTGGAGAAACTGTAGAGCAAGAAAATAAAAACTTTAAGAAAAGGTCAAGTGTTTTAAAAACTGAGGTTTGTTCATGTGGCTGGGGTTTTTTAATAATATTTTGTTCATGCATTTTTATGCATGGGAACATGTTTAAAATTAAAGTTATTTAGGCAGTCGCATATGAAAATTTTTCCCTGAAGCTTCAAGAAGATGGCATGGGCCATTGTGTATGTCCCTGAGCAGTGTGTTTCAGAGCAAGAGAATGTTCCTGTGCTTCTGCTGCCATTCTCTGTCAGTAGTGAGAACTGCACCTTTGTTTCACAGTTACAGGCCAAATTTGATCACCTCACAAGAGCCCATCAAGAAGAGAGAATGAAGCTTGAAGAAAAGAGAAGACTTTTGGATGAAGAAATAATCTCTTTCTCTAAAAAGAAAGCTACCTCTGAGATATACCAGAACCAGACCTTTATGGCAATGGGCAGCAACCTAAAGAAGGACAAGGACCGTAAGAAGTAAGCCATATCCAACCACCCATCTCTGGTAGCTCATCCCCATCACGCTGTTGTCTCGTTGCTCTCTTTGATCTCTATAGTGCTCCTCACTATCTGTTTCCTATTCCTTGTCTGCCTTCTGAGGCTAAATGGCAGCTCCTTGAGACCAGGCACCTTTTTCTTCTTGTTCACTGCTGCATCCCTAGCATCTAGAACAGCACCTGGCATGTATTTGGTGCTCATTAAATATTTGGCAAAATGAATGAATAAATAAACTAAATAAAAATACATCACAATGTAAAAAGTGTCAGTTACCTGGGAAAAAGTCAGCTACTCTTATTTCATAGCCAAGCCTATGGCTCTAATACACATCTAATAACTGCTGACCTACAATTAGTTACATTGAATTTTATGTCTAATTGGAAGCTATATACTTTCTTATGGAATGATAGGTATAAAATAATACTTGATTTTAAAAAGACTACTTCTTAGGTTCACCTTTTTTAAACAAATTCTACTGATAATGATTTTGTGAGAATTTTTATTTTAATAAGGGAACCAGGCTTTCGATTCGAACTCCTGTGCTTTGATGTCAGAGCTTGTGAAACCAATGGTGGACGTAAAGATGCAGAGGAAGGTAGAGAGGGTTCCAGTACAATGGGGCGGCCATGAGTAGCATTTGGATGATATTCTCAAGGCTTATAGGTTTGGGGTATGTGTTACAATCAAACTCACCCAAAGTTTTAGAAAATAAGTATTTTTTCCTCTTTTGTATTTTGTGTCCATTTTATTTCTCCCTCTTAAAATGTCCTCGTCAGTTTGCCTATCTGACTATTCTCCTAAGTCATCATTGACTTGTCCTGTTGGGAATGCTTCCGTGTGGGTTTTTGCCTCACTTTAGTCCAACTATCTCTGCTCTAGCAGCATCAAGTCCTTCTTATGTTCCTCACAGAGCAACACTTCTGGTATAATTTTATCACTACAGCTTACTGTAGTTTGCTGTGTATAATGCACATTTTTTGCCCAAATTTTTGAGGGAAAAATAAGGATGCACATTATACATGGGTAGTACTAATTCCATATCTAGATAAATGTTTTTAATTCTTTTATTTGTGCTTATGCCTTAAAATTATAACTCTAGTTTTGTAATTACTTGTTACATAAAATTTCTTGTACTATAATATGTTAAAAAATAAATGCTAAAATTCCTTTATAATACAAAAAACAAGTATCTAAGTATAAGTAAATAAAAAATTGAATTAAAAGATTAAAACGGAAGATTTTTTCCCTGAAAGTCTGGGCCAAAAACGTGGGTGTGCTTTATACATGGGAACACATTATATGCGGCAAAATGCGGTATTTCATTTTCAGAATATTGTGACTCGAATTCAAAATAGTTAGGAAAACATAAAGTTGGTCCATGGTAGCTTACCATTTTTGAACTGTGGAAAAGTAAATCCACAGAGTTTTGGTGTATTTCACTGACCTATGGATTTTATGGCTTTTAGCGGAAGAAAGAGGAATTTTTATGATTGATCTTTTAATATCAAGAGCATGGATTCTGAGTTTTGTTCATGGATGTATCCATCCCCAGAGCCTAGAACATAGCAGACATCCATTATTTGTCAAGGGAATAATATGACGTTTATTCAGGTATTGAATTTAAAAAGATTAACAATAAATGTAATTATTGCTTTTCATTATGCTTTGAGTTACAAAGCTATGGGACTTATTACCTTCTTTTTATCTTAATCCAGGCTTAATAAAATTGGTTTTGCCCATATTTATTTTATATATGAAAGACAATTCACACTTACCTTGTGGAAATTACCATCTTGCTCCACTTGAGATCATTGGTATGAGCCATTGCTGACAAAATCAGGGGCAAGCCCATAGTTTTTTGAGAACCCAGAATTCATCCTCAAGAAAGTGGAGTCTGGTGAAGCTTTTTTTCCCTCTCTTTCCAACGTTCCATAGTTAGATATCCTACAGAATAATAGATGTATATTTGTTCTTTTGGGAACAGTTTTGTAAAACTAATGATTCTAGTAATCTTTATATCTTATATGGTTTTATATTGTACCAATCAAATGTTTTTTTCTCTTTCCAGCTCCAATTTTATGTAAAACAAAGGTTCCAGATAACAGAAAGTCATCACAAGCGAAGTTATTAAAATGTTAGAAGTATGCTGTGATTTTTCTTGCTTATTTTATTTGTTCTATCTGGCAAGTGGCCACAGTTCCATAAGTGGCCATTTATGGAAAAATACTCTTAAGTATAAATAAGATCAATATATAAGCCCAAACCAGATGATAGAACTTATATATTCACTGTTAGAAGTTTTTAAGTTGCTGGTTTGTGAGGAATCTAGGTCATTGCTCCTGCAACCAATTTGTTGTCACTCTGCAGAGCATTACACCACAGAGCAGTGTCAGTGCCATTGAAAATACCGAACTCATCTATGTTGTTATGGCTGTCTGATTGCATTCATATTCTAAGATTAACCTTTTTGTTATACATACTAAAGGTAAAATTTGGGGACTATGTTTTAAAATGTATTATGTACCTGAAAGTCTAACCTCATAGTAGTTTTATAGAACTTTATAATTTTTGATATAATTATCTAGTTGGTAACATGATCCTAAGATTTTATATCAAATTTTATATAACATGATAGTCTTCCATGCTTCAGTATGCCTTTTTGTGGTTGATGTATTATTGTGGTGAAAAAAATAAGTTCAAAAGAAAAGCATCCAGGTGTATAAACCCTTTTTCTAGTGATAAGTACTTTTGAACCTGGATGTTATCACAGTGTTTTCTTTAGGATGTATTATATACTGTTGCTTAGAACTCTGTCTTCCAGGGGAAAAATAATAAGATTGAATTATCTTACTAAAAATATTGCTTAAGAAAATAGCTATGAACATTTGAATGCTAAAGATATAAAAATTTAGATGATTCATATCAAAAGGGAGAGTTGAATTCAATGCCTTAGTAGTATCCTCAGAACAATTAACTTTTCTTAACAGTCATAGGTATACATTTTTTTATTTTTGTACTTCAATATTCTAAGTAAAGCTGACATTTACTCTTGACAAATAAAATATATCTACATATTTACTAAAATGTGTATAAATTAACTTTTCTATTTACAAAGTATCATCTTATAGAACATTTTATCAAAGTTCATTTAATTATGTTTGAATTATTTTAAAACTCAATAATGAAGTGTTGTATATTACCAATATTTTTCAGTGTTTAACTTAGTCTGTGTTAGATTCTGAACAGCATTTTTTGTTTGTTTGTTTCATGAAGCTGTGTAAGTTGCAAATAAAACCTTTCATTTTCTAAGCACAGTTTATCTGGACAAATATTTTACTTTCCATTTTTACATTTGAAATACACAAATGCCTCTTAGCCTTTTTAAACTGTAGTAAAGTAAGTTACAAGTATGACAGAGAAGGCTCTGAACTTTCTTCTCAGGATCAGTAATACCCAGGTTCTGGAAGGTGGGAGCAGAGGAGCTGGTGAGCCCCTGAGGGCAGGTAGCCTGTTGTACAGAGCCCATCTATTGACACAGCACTGAGCAGTAGCAAGGAGAGGGTCATCCAGGAAGATCAGTGGCATGACTGGAGTGGTGGTTATTTGTAGGCATCAAACTCTGTACAAAACAACTGTCCTAAACTTTAATACAGTTACTTTTAAATATCAGATTGGTTGTTGGGATATTCAAACAAAGTTATTCAAGTTTCTAATTGAAAAGATTATGGAAAGCTGCCTAAGACTCTGCACTTAAAAGAAGGGTAATCACTTTATTGATGACTCTGCTATGAGAAAGACTCGCCACATGTGCTTCAACCACAATGTAAATCTTTCACTTATTTCATCTATTTGGGATTCCAGGTACAATTTTATTTTAAAAGAGTTGCACTGTAAAGAAAACAATTTTAAAGACAATTGCACCATAATATTCAAATTCTTCTTACAAAGTGAGTTATTATACATCGATGCTTAAATTAGTAAACTTTCTGGGAACAGAATAAAGCTAGACATGTTTTGTTTATATTTTTACCCATAAGTCATGTGAAACAGAATTGTCTCTTACTACCAACCATTAATATCTGTACATACTATCCTGAATTTTAAAGCTTTTTCACATAGATTATTATTTCAGTTTCAAAGCAACACAAAGGAAAAAGCATTACAGGCAGTATTATCTCCATCTTGAAGATGAACCCGCATGTTCATCTTGGCCGCATGTTCCTCTTGGGCTAGGAGACTATCCATGTCCTTATGGAACAAGCACAATAGTAATAAAACAGCAGATTTATTCACAGAGTATTCTCAAAGGTGCTTCTGCTTCTATTCTCAAAGCATAAGAGAGCATCCAGGGAAGTAACTGGGTCTTGAAACATTAGAAGTAATTTTTCAAATACAGGAATGAAGAAAGGCAACCCAGGTACAAGGAATAACATATTTCTATAAAATCTGTATACTCTGGGAAGTAGCTAAATATAAATAAAGAGTATAGGGGAGATGTGGGGCAGGAGTAGGGGAGAGGTTTTAGAGGTAGGTCAGGAACAGATCAAGAGTTTGTAAGGCCAATCCAACAGACAATGGGAGCCATGGAATGATTTGACCTCACATGGTCAGACACTTCTGGGTTCGTGGGAAAGTTAAACTAGAGGAGGAACTGTGGCAGGAGCAGTCCAACTCATTAGACTGCAGTCTAGGCCAGTAGTTCTTAACCCTGAGTATACAATAAAATAACATAAGTTGCATTAAAAAAAAAAAAAATCTGATGCAGCCCTGGCCAGTGTGGCTCAGTTGGTTGGAACATTGTCCTGCAAACCGAAAGGTCATGGGTTCAATTCTTGGCCAGGGCACATGCATGGGTTGTGGGTTTGGTCTCCAGTCAGGGCAAGTGCAAGAGGCAACTGATTGATGTTTCTCTCCCTCTCTCTCCCTCCCCCTCTCTCTAAAATAAATAAGCATGTCCTTGGATGAGGCTAAAAATAAGATGCAGAAAGGAATATGTAGTAATGGAAGCTGTCATTAAAAGGATAAATCTAAATGAATAATGACCGTAAAACAATATGTCTCTCATGATTAGAAATATGTAAAGAACTTTAGTTTTAATACAACCCTACAATGGCCTGTTGGGAGAGTGGGGCAGATCAAGTGGTCTAAAGTTCCTATGTTAACTGAGATGAGGATAAAAGTCCTATTTTACCAGGTAACATGAGACTTAAGAGTGCATGTAAGTATGATAAAGTATGTAAGTATGGTAAAGTATTTTCAAGCAGTAAAAAGAAAACTAATCTAATAAATGATAATCTAAAATAAAACAAGAAAATAGAGTAGGTATGACACCAGAAAGTATTTAGTAATACGGTAGATTTAGATCCAGATAAATCAGTAATTACATGTACTACATGTTCTAATTGTTCTTAGATAAAAGGTTTTTAAAAAACAGCTATGTGTACTTCACCAGAGAGAGGTATAAATTTTTCTGTCTTTATAGACAGAAGATAGGAAAAGGAACATCATGCAAATTCTAATGAAAAGCTAATGAATAGCTGTATTTTCTGTATATTAAAAATTTTAAGACAAAAAGCATTGCTAGGGATGAAGATGTATACTTCAAATAAGAGAATATATAACAATTCCAAACTTGTATGTGATATAGTAGCTTTGGCAACCCATGGGTCAGACAAGAAATCAAAAAGAAATCTAGAAAATATTTTGAACTGAATAACAATGTATATGTTATATATCATAATTCATGTGAGGCAGCTAAAGTCATTCTTAGAGTCAAAATTTTAGCCCTTAGTGCTAGTATTAGCAGGGAAAAAAGGCTGAAAACCAATATGCTACATATTCATCTCAAAAAGTTATGAAAGAGGAGTAAGTAAACCCAAAGAAAAATAACATAGATGAGAGAGAGAATTAATGAAATAGGAAAAGTATTGGAAGTCCTTACATTTTAAAATATTAAGGATGATAAATCATGACAAAGATGACTAAGAGAATGAGAAGAGGCATAGGATGACTCAAAAATTAACAACAAACCTGACACTACCAAAAAAAGGGTATAGAATGACTACAACATTCTACATTGCTGGTGGGAATGCAACACGATTCAACCACTATAGCAATATCTTAGACCTTCATCATATGTTTTCTATGGCTGCTCTCATAAGTTACCACAAACTTCGTGGCTTAAAGTAACAGTATTCTTATAGTTTTGGGGGTCAGAAAGTTGACATGGATCTCACAGTGCTAAAATTGATGTGTGGATAGGGCTGTGTTCTAGGAAAGAGTCCCCTTCTTGGCCTTTTCTAGCTTGTGGAAGCCACCTACATTCCTTGCCTGTTAAAGCCACCAATGGTGAGTTGAGGTCTCACAGTACATCAGTCTAACCTTTTCCTCTTCCTTGTTCTCCCACTTAATTGGGCCCACGTGCATAATCTCCCTATCTGCTGAATAGCAACCCTCTGCCATGTTACCTAACATTCAGAGGGCCCAGAGATTAAGATCTCTAGGGGAGTGACATCAGAGGAATGGTGGTGTGAGAGATCTCCTTGGTCTCTCCTGAAATTTCAACAACTTTATCAGCTGTAACTCAACAAAGGATTCCCTGCTCAACATACAGCCATGCTGAAGAGATCTGTGCATTGAAGCATCTAAAGGTGGGCAAATGGAAACAAAGCAGAGGCAAGAAGGGAAGAGAGCCCAGGTGAATCGAAGACAGCCCTGCAGCCCAGTTTGCAGTGGACTCAGCTTGAAGAAGGGAGGAACCTGGCTATAGCTGGTGCCTCCTTTGGCCATCAGGGAGAAGCAGGGTCTTGGTGGACACTCCAGCAGGAGTAAGCTCTGCAAACTGCAGCTGAGAAGCCTTGGCAAGAACACAGTGCAGGGGTTCTGCCGTGACTGTTGGCTGTCAGGTGGTCAGTGTTCCAAACAAAGAAATGGAGCTGCAGAGCCCTGATGCCTTTTAAACTATCAAAACTCAACTCCTGTGGCCTGTGGTACAAGATTTCAGAGCACATTACCTCCAAAACTGAGAACTATTACATCAGAATTTCTAATTCTGTGACTGATCCCCAGTTGGGGTGCATGGCAGGGGAACCAATGGGGGCCTGAAGTTGCCATTACTGAGAGAGTCAAACATCCCAACCCCAAGCATCACAGCTATACTAATGACAGCCACAAAGGTCAGGTTTGGGATTTCACAGCTTAAAAACTAATTCAGTGCCACCTACTAGAAAATAGTAAAAAGACCTCTTCATAGGAATCTAGT